GACGACGAGCCCACAGAGCGCAGTTCGATGCCCTTGGCCGTCAGCAGCAGGCGCTTGTGCTCATCAGCACGCCGTTGACTCGCGTACACACGGCAGCTCACAGACACGGAGCCTTGGGGCCAATGCTTACGCAGGTATGCTTCCATGTCTCGATTCCGTAATGAAAGTTCCCGAGACACTCCGACCCCGGACAGAGACTCCATACAAAAAAGAAGAGTGTCCGGATGATTATGAGCATGTAGCCGTAACCGTCATACACTTGCACAACAGTGTACATAATGCACCATCGATAAATAAGTTATGTAATGCATTCATCAGTACTTTATGCGCTCGTCATGAGCTGTTTGAGCTCCAAATCGGAGCGAACGCGAGTCTCCTGGCCCTCGGGGGTGACACAGGCCATCTGTCCGTCCGGAAAGTAGCGAATCTTCTTCTGGTTGAGCAGCGTCACCTCCCGCAAGCCGTCGGGCTTCTCCAACATTGTGGTTCCGTCCGGAAACACAGAGAACTCGTCGCCATTCGGGCGGATTGTCTTCTTGATGCCGTCAGCAAACTGGATTTCCGTCGTTCCGTCCGGCAGACTCGTCTCGATCTGCTGATTCGGGAACTCATATACTTTCCTGTTGTCCGGATATGTTGTCAGCTTCGTCTGAGCCTCGTGGTAGTAATATACACTGATCCCAGTGTCTGAGAAGACCTGCAGCAACAACAAACCAGCGTTAGTCTTAGATTATCCAGCACTCTTTAACCTTGGACGACCAGCTCACCTCTTTGTGGTCACCGTTCGTGAATCTGATGACGACGTGGCCGTTTGCGTCGATCTCCTTCTCGTTGCCGTCTGGGAAGATGATTCTCTTGCTGCCGTCCGTAAACAGCAGCTCTTTCTTCCCACCCGGATGGTCAATCTCTTGCGCGACCGTCTTGTTTTCGGACAGAGACAAAGTTGATACGGAGGTGGCATTATCACCTGAGTAACCAGCAGTATGCAGTGCTTTATCGTCTTCAGCATCAGGCAGTGCCCATTCATAAGTAGCAGCGGCACTCGCAAAGCCGGTTTCGTTGGCACTTTCAAGGCTCCCTAGCTCGCTCGCAGGGTGGGAATCCTCTCGATCCAAACTGTACCGCTTCGGGTTGTACACGTCCGCTTGGAGGTGTTCAGAGGTTGGCGTAAATGCGTCACGGTCTTGAGTTAAGCCATCGTCACGAGGGAAATTCCACCGTTGTAGCAGCTCGTCAGCTGTTCCTTTGATTGCGAAAACGTCACCTACCGTACGGAGTTCGTTCTTCTCTCTGATTGCAGAAATAATCTCAGGTTTTGAACCTGATCTGGGCGGTTCTTGCTGCTCTTTTAGCAATCGCTCGTACTTGTCCCACTGCTCCAAACGATCTTTCTCAAGGAATTTGACTTCATCACTGAGCTCCCGGTTTTTCTCCTCAAGTTCCTGTACATGACGCAACAGCGCAACAGTTAAGCTAAGGACAACTTAACCAACCCCATACAATAGACCCAACACATACCGCAACACGCTGTCGCAAGTTGTCGTTCGCAGCCTTCAGCTTACTCACACGATCTTTCTCGTCAAGCTGCATCTTCACAATCTGCGCCTTGAGCATCTCCACTTCGCTGCAGTCTTTGCGATCTTGATGAGCTATCGTTGCATTCATCCGCAGCTTCCATTGTCGCTCCTGCAACTTCTCCTCTTTCTTCATTTTGGCTCGCTCCCGTTCCCACTCCTTCTCGAGCAGAACGCGCTGTTCCTGCTGATATCGGACAAACTCGTCCCGTTCGGTAGCTAGCTTCTTCACTTCTTGGTCGTAATAATCCCTGCGCTTCTGAAGCTGAAGTGTCTCGGATTTGTAGAACTTGACTTCCTCCTCCAGCTCATACAGTTTCTCTTCGATCACAGCTGGCAATACTAAACCAGCGGAGCCTGTAGGCGGTGCTCGATCTCGAGGCTGCGTCAGCTTCCCTGTATTTGCTCCTGATTTTGGCTTGGCTGGGGTGCGCGAGGGCACGGTAGATTTCGGTTTCGGCGGTCCCGTTCCTTTCCTTTTGCCCGTCGTCGCCCGTGCAACGGGGGGATTTTGCTTACCACGTAGCTTCTGCTTCAGCGTCGATAAAGATTTGTCCTGAGCAGCCGGTGGCGGTGGTGGAGATACATGTAGGTTCTTCTTGTTTCTGCCATATCCAGCATTGATCGAGCCTCTTTCTTTTCCATCGGGAACGCATGCTAGAATCATCACTTTCATCCTGG